TCTACATCTTATTTTAAAATGAAAGAGGTGAGAAGAGCTGTAGAGGAAGTGCTATATTGTATAGTTAAAACAGTTCGGTTAGCTGTTCAACAGGTTAGTTTAGCTGAGACTTAAAAATATACCCCTTTTCAATTTTTTTTTTTTTTTTGAGACAGGGTTTCTCTGTGGCTTTGGAGCCTGTCTTGAAACTAGCTCTTGTAGACCAGTCTAGTCTCGAACTCACAGAGATCTTCCTGCCTCTGCCTCCCAAGTGCTGGGATTAAAGTTGTGTGCCACCATCGCCCGGCTCCCTTTTCAGTTCTGTATAATGCACATCTTGTGAATTCTCTGCTTTGTAAATGATTTGTTATAGTCAGTTTCTATAGTGTACTAGAAAGTCTTCATGGAAGATTTACCAAATTATATCTATTACTCTTATACTTGAAGACTCTTTGTGAAGCCAGAATTAATAAGTTTGGCTAGAAAGCACTCTGTATTTTTAACTTATAATAGGCTGTTAAAAGAAAGATCTTTATGGCAGGTAAATGTCAGCATTTATATAGCATACAATAGATAATTCATTTTATAGTTAAAGATTTTTTATGATTGAAATGCTTTTTTTTTTTTTTTTTTTTTTTTTTGAGACAGGGTTTCTCTGTAGCTTTTTTGGGCCTGTAACTAGCTCTTGTAGACCAGGCTGGCCTCAAACTCAGAGATCCGCCTGCCTCTGCCTCCCAAGTGCTGGGATTAAAGGCGTGTGCCACCAATGCCAGCTTAAAATGCTTCTAATAGAATAAAAATAGCATATTAAGCCTGAAGGCAAAATTAGGGAATTGTTTTGGGGGGGTGGAGTTCGAGAAGGAGTTTCTCTGTGTAGCCCTTGCTGTCCTGGAACTCACTCAGTGAGGTTGGACTCAACTCACCTCTGCCTCCCAAAGGATGGGGTTAAAGGTGCAGGCCACCACTACCTGGCCTAAGTGAAGGATGTTTTAAAGTATGAAGCATTGTGTTTCTAGATTGCATTTGGGAAAAATGGGTTTTATTTTCATTTTTAAAAGGTAATGATGGTTATTATATTACTATGGTTTCTGTTTTTTAAGACAGGAAGGGTCTCAGTCTGTAGCTCTGGCTATTCTAGAATTCACTGTGTAGACCAGGCTGGTCTGGAACTCAGATCTGCCTGCCTCTGCCTCCCAAGTGCCGGGATCTAAGGCCCATGTGCCACCATGCCCGGCTTTTTTTTTTTTTTTAAATTTAATTTCATTACTGCGTATGTGATTGTTGGAAGAGGTGGCACACATGCCATATTAATTCTATGGAGGTGATGAAATAACTGGCATTGGTTTGCTTTTTCTTCCTTTAAATGGGTTCATGGTATTAAACTCGGATCAATCATCAGGCTTATATGTATTGTCCAACATCAAGTACCTTTATAGGCTGAATCATGTCATCCGCCCTTATATTGATTTTGAGTTAAGTTCTCATACTGTAACCCAGCTTGGCCTTACTTCTGATGTTCTTGCTGTAATTGTACACATATACTACAAATGCAGATTATTTGAGGAACATTTGTTTAATATGTAGAGTTATGTTCATTAGCAACACCCCCTAGCCTTGCGCTGGTGCTTTTTGGAGGCACATAACGTTGTATGTGCTAAGGTCAGAGCACAACTTCGGATGTTGTTCCTAAGGCACTAAGGAACCCTTTCTCTTTTTTTTGCTCTTCCTTCTCCCTTTGCCTTTTTCCCTTCCTCTTCTTTTTTTTTTTTTTTTTTTTTTTTTAAGAAAAGAGTCTCTCAGCCGGGCGGTGGTGGCGCACGCCTTTAATCCCAGCACTCGGGAGGCAGAGGCAGGCGGATCTCTGTGAGTTCGAGACCAGCCTGGTCTACAAGAGCTAGTTCCAGGACAGGCTCTAAAACCACAGAGAAACCCTGTCTCGAAAAACCAAA